CAGTTGAAAGTAACACTTCACGCTCTGTTTTGATCTTCCGATTAAAGAAAATGTATGGAAATAATTTTTAATTGTCTCGTAGATCCAAACATTTCAAATTCCACAAGCTACCGTCGATCTAATTTAGGTCCTATATTCCTGAAGTTTCTTTCGAAGCTTCGAACGACATCAGATCTGTGAATTTCGGTTGGGTTTTTCCATATTTTTAAAAGTTACATTTTATGACGCCATTTACAGACATTACAGTCACTTCCTGCGGTGTGTCCGAAATTATTGTAGGTTTGTACCAGGATATGAGCCATGTTCACCTTCACCGCCATTCTGTTCGACAAGTTCCAACATTAATGTGTTTCTAATTCATTCTAAAACTAATGAGACAATCTCAGATGGTGCAGAATGCAAATAACGGCTCTGATACAGTAGTCACACAAGTCCTCACCGTGCCGTACTCTCCCTTGGTAGTCAACTAATACGAGCGGAATATGAGCGGAGAAAAACTTGATAAGTTTTCATGTTTCTATTTTCTTTCAAGGCCCAAAAATAACCCACAATTATCGTTTGTCAAGACGGTTTTGAATTGTACTTTATTATATAAAAGTCAGTGGTATACCGAGTAGTAACAAATTGATAAAAACGATATGATATCCTCACATGTGAAGATATCATGTTTGATAACATTTCTCTTTTGTCCCTTTAACTACACTTAAATTTGTGGGTGTTTGATCGAAACATCTTCGGATCTTCTTCGGTCGTCTTCGGCAATCTTCGGAAACTGTTTGGAAATGTTCGGAAAATGTTCGGAAACGTTCTTCTGGCCTTCAGAACAATTTTGGAAAATCTTCGGAAATCTTTGGAAAGTGGTCGGAAATCTTCGGAAAATCGTCAAAAACTGCGTCTACAGCATGTCTATACAATAAAAAGAACATTACACTTTGCTCGAAGATACGAATTTTATGTTCTTGTGGCAAGAACAATATCTCACGAGTTCGCTGCGCTTACTCGTGAGATATAGTTCTTGCCACTCGAACATAAAATTCATATCCTCTCGCCACCGTGTAATATCCTCTATGCGGTGTCTTACGTTGAGTTTCGTTCATTTTGAACGCAATAATACGTAGAAGTAGCAAACGGGACAATTTTACTTTTCACATTAACGTTTGTAAATTGATAGTTTCGTTTTCCTCGCCAAGGTATGCAACATAATATGCTTGTAAGAAAGATGTGTATTTTTTCACTCACTGCTGGAGGTAAATGGAATGAAGTTAAATATCTGACGAAAAATCGAAGAGGAACGATTTTTTCTATTCAAAACGCAAATTTTCGTTTCACCGATAACGAACTGATCTTTTTATCAAATAGTCACTTCGAGTCACGGAATTGTGCGTTCTTATTCTGTTGCCACCTTTGGCATCGATTAATACAGCTGAGTTGGGTTTCAACGAGAGGCACTGAATGTAGAGATCGTTACTTGACCGACATTATTATATCCTACATAGGTGAGCGAGTCACCTCCAAGACTGATGAAATTAATTGGCGGTTTCAGTAATAAGTGCTACGGAGTCTGCGGCAATAATTGCAAAGTTTCTTATGTCACAAATTTACTAGTTTAACGTGTAACCATAAACGCGAGAAAATTTCGGCTAAATGTGAACTTTTTGCTCTGTTTCATAGAAGAGGAAATAGGCAAGCTGCTAAGGAGAAGCGAGATGTTTCCATTCCTTAATTGAACCCTGGCAAACACGCAGTAGTTATAAACCAGCAGACGACATTTCTTGAATCGAGCTAGAGGTGATTCCTGCGCTAAAAAGGGGAGACTTGACAATACCTGAAATATAGGTCAAGACGAGAGTGTGGTATCTGAACTCAAGAACGGAGTTTATCACACTAGCAATGCTAGAGTGCATGCGTCTTACATGTTGTGTTCTACCACAAGGGAAAGCACTCAACGTTCATGTCTAATCCCGTATGAAATGTATCTTTCACTTTAAGTGCCTGTGAACTGAAAAATTATTGCTGCTTATTTAAAAGGCTTTTCAAAATACAGAAGAAAGGCGTTTTCGGTTTTGGAATATCTTTTTTTCGTTTTAGAGAAATTGACGTTTTTGTATTACGCAAATTAGGAAAGTGATGACGTCATCAGTTGTGCAACTAAAACGGTAAAATATTGAATAAGAATATCTCTAGAAATGTTAGAGCAGTGCTCTTCAAATTTGGCACCAGAAATATACATCATAAAAAAAACAAAACGACACCCGTAGGGCCGTTGCCATGGAAACTCTCTTGGCTCCAATTCCTTTCCGTCAAAAACCAAATATCCCCATCTGCAACCCTTGTAAGTAAGACAGAGGGTCCTGCTCGGAACAGACATAGTTCCCATATTGTCTTAACTCTGCTCATTAGATTGCTGGGAGTAGATGATCCTTGGTTAAGAAAAAAACTGGGAATTTCAGTTTTAATTAAAAAAGGCACTGCATAAAATCGTCTGTATAAGGGGCCTTCCTCAGGTCGTACACAGTCAATATATCTATTGGTATAAGACAAATATAAGGATGCGGCAGAATGTATAAGGTCCGTATAATGATCAGTATATTTCAGGGCTGGCCAAGAAAAATACCAGGATCTTATACACTTGTGGCAGGATTCCCCATATATCATTATACACGTCGGTATACATCATGTATACTGTGTGAAACAGGAGGTATACTACCCTGCGAACAGGCTTCCGGCGAGGACGGAAAAAAATTCGGCGAGCGCGAAACAGAAGAATTCGGAGAGCAAAGCGATCGGGGCGGGGACAGGGAAGCCTGTAGACTTTGTTTTTGATGTGCCTATCCGCCCTTGGTGATAAGCC